GTGTTTGAGCATATGGCCTTCAGTTGTGGCACTGTTGTATGAAGTTATAGGTAGGTCTAGCTACAGGAAGTAGGTGTATCTGGAGGAGTGGTCTTAATGCATGAAGGTTGACCATGCTCACTTTCTGACCTTTGTCCATTGTCCACTGAGATGAGAGCAAGCTGTTACCTCCTTTTACCAGAAACCCTGTTCCCAACCTTGAGCAACTGTTGTCCCTGAATGTGAATCAAAAATAAGCTCTCCTCCTTTAAATTGTTTTTTGCCTTTGATGATAATGGTATGCAAAATAACTTACACAAAATTGCTGCCAAGAAGTAGAGTCCTTGCTTTGCTGTGAGAAACCCGACTGTGTAGTTCTTAAGCATTTACAACTTATTTACATGAGAGAAGAGGTTGGAGCTGTGGACTAGCCAAACACTAGTGCTGTAGCTATTTCCTTTGAATTGAGACATCCATGCCTAAGTGGAGGATCCTAGGACTTAGAAAGTAAATAAAACCTGTAGAACTCATGAAGCAAATGAAATTTATAAGGGCAGAATGTTCCTAAAAGTTACAAAATTCGGAAGACACGCACACACAAGGTTAAAAAAGCAGTAACAATTCTCAAACAGGAGAGTCTTTGAACGCAGAGATCTCCAGATTCGCTGATTTTATGACCTGTTACCTTTCCTAGTGAGACACTAGTCCTGAGACAGGATCCCTGGTAATCAGATGGGTAGAGAGGCAATGGCTAGGTAATAAATGGTGAACTTTTAAAATAGCCAGCTTCGCACCCTCCTGACCTGAGACAAAAGTCTGATATTTAAAACCAAGACACCTTTTTGCCTCCCGCAGGCAGGCCCTCTACTGATGGTCTACCTCACTGATCAGGACGGTTTATACAACAGGTGTGGGTCTCCATGTCATCCTATCTTTCTTCCAACTGACAAGCCCTAAATTAAGGGGGGAAAAGTTTTCAGAGACTTAAAAAACAAGCAAAGAAACAAACAAAACCCCAACCCTGGAGTAGAGACTTGAGCTTTTGATTTTTAGAATCCACCTCTGCTTTGCTTTGCAGAGGGTCTTTTTCTCCGTGTGTCCACTGCTTGTGTGCTTCCTCAACGCCCCCTCCCCGGCCCAAAGCTTTTCTTCAACAGCTGACTCTGCTGCTGTCTGCAGTGTTTGGATTTTCTCTGCAGCTACCTGTTGCACTGGAGATTCTTTCCTGCCTTTTAATTCTTTTTTTTCTCCATCTTTAAAATTTAAATTAGAAACAAGATTGTTTTCCATGTCAATCCCAGTTCCCTTTCCCTCCCTTCCGCCCCTGCGCCCCCTCCCCACTAAGTCTATCAATTCTTTGACTGGCACAGAAGATGGACCTCATCAAAACCACTAGACTGTCCCAGTAGGATGTGATTTATTGTGATGCATCTGCCTTGGAGTCATCCATGATCTATCGATAGGTAGCGCATCACCCATACTGTAAGTAATCCTAATAAACTCACTAGTTTATGAAACTAGACTTGGTGAATAGCTATTTTTTCATGTGTCCCCAAGAAGTCACACAACACATCAATGTGGTACGTAGCATTTAGGAGAGCATTATTATGGTGGAAAGAGGAAGGTTTTCCCACTGCCTCACAACACACTGCTTCATGTTCACTGAGAAGTATAGCAGAAGTTGTTGGAAATTCCCATCACACCTTCCCCAGGTATGATGGACTGCATTCTCTGAGCTGTGGGGCAAAATAAACTCTTCTCCCTTAAGTTGTTTCTTATTGAGTGCTTGGTCTCAGTGATGAGAATAATATACTGCTATCTCACTTTATCACTGTCTGGACATGAATTTCAAGTTTTTAAAATAAATGAATCAAATAGGAATTTTTTTTTCAAGGGCATCCATTGTGCAGCTGTACTGTTCTTAGGAGCACTGAGCTCCAAAGATCTGTGCAGAGTCTGTAGAGGAACTGCACATACTTGCCTAATTTTTCTTCTTCCTCTGAAAGACAGTTGCATACATATTTGCCTTGAGTCCAACAAGATGTAGAAAAGTAGTGAGGACAAGATAGAAAGCCAGCCTTATTGGTTTTCCCTCTCTAAATGAATGCAGAAGATCAGAGAATCCTCAGAGGTCATTGCTGAAGATCTATCTACATAAGCACTCTGAAAAGTAGAGCAGATAATTGATTTTTAAATTTGAGCAAATAAATGAAATGTGACAAATATTGTGACTCACCTTAGTAATAATTTATAAAAAAATTAGTAAAGTATGATGAAGAAAGAAGGTATGCAAACTTGAGCAAAATTTTGTGCTTGGGAGTTAAGGGAAAGAAAAGGATGGCAATAATTTTCTTCAGGTGTTTTACTTCTTTTCTGTTTTGTTTTGGGGAGGTCTGCTTCTTTCATGTGACCCATCAGATCACATGTTGTTCTAACATGATGAGAGGTAAAGTGGTTTATATGAAGTCTTCACTGCAGCAAAGCTAGTTTAACAGATCTCACTTGGCTTTGTGATTCAAGAATCAGCTGGTAGTCTGGACCAAAAATAGTTCAGAATTCTTTGGCTTACTACATAGAATGGCTATTTTTACCACTATGGAAGAGGAAGTGGGCACACAAACTAGAAGTGAGATAGAGACGACTTGACTGCTTATAGCCCACATCTGTCTTATTTGAATATAGAAGGAACATCTGGCTTGTGATTTGCTGAGACCTAGACCTTTGTGTCAAGAATGCATTCAAGTTAGGTTTTACTATTAGCAAAATTTTAGTCTCAACTTAAAATATGTATAGAGGCATCTTTTGCTTTATGAGATTGATCTTTTCTTCCCAAAGAGGTTGAAAGGATAATTTCTCATTAGTGATGTCTGGATGGATTCAAATGGCTCGTTACTAGTCCTTTGAAATTCCTTGTCTTGCTACAAGGCAGAAATTCATCCAGAATTGGTTTTCAAACTTCATTTTCAAATTTTAAAAACATTTCCTCTAATATATTTTAAAAGTTTATGAACTTTTAAAAATTAATTAATCATTTATGGTGTGTAGTAATTTTTAATACCTTCAAGAACCATTCCTGGTGACAAGTGAGGAATGACTAATGTTGTTCCAGGGCCTACTTTTTTGTTATATGTCTGTTTTGTATGTGAAAATTTTATTCAGAATTATATCCAAAGTGGGGTTGAAAATGGTTGAAGACTTATGAATTTACCATGTGACAATTTGGGGTTTGCAATTTTGAAGTTTTTACTTCAAGACTCAAATTTGAAAACTGGCTCACTCTATGGACACAGGATTTATTACTGCTCTTGGAACTACCAACCCTTGAGATTGAGTAGGAGGACTCTGTGATGTCCGCAGGTGTGACTTCCACTACCTCCCATTGTAGGGCATCTCACCCTTCTCTTTCAGAATTGGTGCTAGGCTCTGGTTTTATTCCTGAGGGCATGATTACATGGTTGAATTTCTTCCCTTATATAAACATACTTTCTTCATAAACTACTATATTCTAGGCATTTTCTCACACAAATAATTTCTATAAACATAAATATAATGTCTATGAAATATCACATATATTGAATAATATCCCCATTGGAAATTTAGGTTGATATTTTTATTAATATAATTAATGATGCCTCGATGAACATTCTTGTCAACATTTCTGACTACTCTTTCCAGAATAAATTTCTAAAAGTGGATTTTAGGGCTAAGGGATGTCAGACTTGTAAAACTCCCTAAGTTTTGCTAAACTTCTTTCTGTAAATTCTGCTAATTTTAGTCTCATAATGAAATCTAACAATGTATAATTTCAAATGATGTTTCTAAATGTAAACCCTTTTTCTCCTCAGAAAAGAAAAATCTGCTGAGATTATAAAATCTTTGTAACTTAGCTATTAGAAGTGGTATAAATGTATGAATGCATGATGACATAATGCAAAGACTTTCCTTCTGAAATCACTGGATAAGAAATACACCAGCAAAAACATAAATGAAAGTGTCTGTTGTATTACTAATCAGTTAAAAAGTTTCAATTCTATATCAATTCTATAGCTAAAACTGAGGATGTTTGTACCCTTAGTGACCATGCAAAACTGCAGGCACACTTCTGTCAGATGAACAAGCACACATGTTTCAAAGTGTAATGAGAATGTGATGCTTGACTACTGCATTTAAAACACATTATAGCTCGTAATTCAAGCAGCCACAGCTGTCAATATGGGAATTTATATTTTAGTCAACTGTTACTGTTTGAATTCCAAGGTTCAACATGATATTGCCACTTATTCATTTCATGAATTGGTGTGGGTGAATTTTCTCCCTAAGCCTTGTCTGTAAAATGAATGAAGTGTTGGCATAGTGGCAGGATGGAAATGAGGAGTACAAAGAACTCGCCATTTTGGTGCGAACAATACAGTCCTGCATATTTGCTGCATGTGGCTGCTGAAAACAATCAGGAGTGTGGCTGGTCCCAGTTGAAACTTTCTATACACATTGAACACACATCAGTCCCATTGAAAAACATGAACTGCTTAATAAATCATTTCATGTGGAAGCAATACTATTTGGGATATCCTGCTTTCAAATAAAACACATTATTAAAAATAATTGTAATTTAGTGTTTAAATATTTTTCCCATTTAAAATGATTGTGCCTTGCATTATTTTTTTATTGGGCAAATCTGCTCCAGAATATGATGGGAAGCTATTAAATACTTTAGAAATGAAATAAAAGTAAATTGTTTCCTCCAATGTAGAATTAGAGAATTTTATTTTTATTCTAGGAGCTTTTGATATTTGTCAGCGATCTAGATAGGTTAGAAAAAACTAAGTGAGGACTTGGCATAAAATTTTAGTGTTCATCAGAGGAGGGGTGATAGTTTATAAATAGCATCTCCTCCCTCCCTCCTTGCCCAATGTCTATCCCTGATGAGTTATTTTTGTTGGCCACATTAAGAACCTGACATTTGATTCTTTCTCAGTGTGCTCTGCCTTGGTCCTTTGAAACAGAATGGATAGCGAGCGAAAGGTCAAAGCTGTTGTTGCTGGTTGCATATGTTCAGGGCCACGACTGACAACAGAGCCTTAGGAAGATCGTAATATTAAAGATGGCAAAATGCTTGGTCAAGATCCGGACTCAACGAAGTCTCCACTTGCACATGGTGAACCACTGTAGCAGTAATGTGTTTGTTCGTCTGCTGAAACATGGCTCCAAGGTCATACCTCGAAATGCTGGTACGTGCTTTGCCCTGGGCTGTCATCCTATGCCTAGATAAGTGGGACTGCTTCCAGCTACATGCTCACCACTGGTGAGCCAGAGAGAAGCTAAGGATGCATGTGGCATACGTTTTTATATTTCATAAGGAGTGAAGATAGACAGGGAGAAAACAGGAAGGAGAAATGAAAGGTAATGAAGAGTGTAAACAAGTTAGAAGGGAAATGGAAAGCCAAGCTCTCTTGCACAACAAAATAATAGAGATTCCCTGCTTTATTCAAAAGATACAAGAGGAAGGCTGTTGTGTATTCCTGCAGATTGCTTAGAAGTGAGAGCTGATGCTTATAAGGCATAATGAGCAATCAAAAGACTTCTCTGCCTCTCATTATGTGAATTTCAGATCTCAGATATGTTCCTATGAGGCAGAAACCCCCCTTTTTTATCTTCAATTGAGAATTTTAGTAAAATAAAATACCAGGCCATCTTTTAGACTCTGTGAGCTCACACAGAGAGAGAGACATGTAGATGAGTAAAATTAAAATGAGTAAAATGAAAACAATCAGTTAAATAACCACCATCAGACTGATGTCATACCAATTTCTTTTCTCTGTAATGGTCCTGTTTTATGTTATTTCATGATCTGAGAAATTCAAACAGGAATCCAAAGTCAGATCCTCACCCACAATGCTGCTGTAATTTTATAGGTTTTTATGTTTGTATGTGTTTTTCAGTAAATGGTTACAGTAAAATTTATTCTGAGAAATAGCTGGAATTAGTCATAGCTTAGTAATATTTATAAAATTGTCTTCTTTGTTGAGATTAAGTGTATTTTTATGATGATATAAGTAGCATATGTTGTGTTCCTGTTCGAGAACCTATACGATTATTGTTTTCTTTTGTTTGAGGAAGGCTTGCATGCCTAAGCTAGCCTGTAACTCACTGTGTGGCACAAAGGTGGCTGAGACCTCACAATCTTTCTCTAACCTCCTGAGTTGTGTGATTTATATATACAAGCATTATGTCCATCTTATTTTTAAAAACACAAATATAGCAAATATTTTCCAATTCATTAATAGTCTCAATAATGAGTGCAGGAATGCTGAAAATAGCACATAATGTATTTCTTATTAATAGAATTTCTCAGCCAGGCGTTGGTGGCGCATGCCTTTAATCCCAGCACTTGGGAGGCAGAGGCAGGCAGATCTCTGTGAGTTCTAGGCCAGCCTGGTCTCCAGAGCGAGTGCCAGGATAGGCTCCAAAGCTACACAGAGAAACCCTGTTTGAAAAAACAAAAGAAAAAAAATGAATAGAATTTCTCTAGGTATAGTATTTTATAATGCATTTTAAATTTATGATTGACAAAAGAATTTCCATATTAATACAGATTAGTATGAATCTTTCCAAAACTGACCAAATAATATAGAATAATTATATAATGTAGAGAAATAATAATTCACTATTTAATCACAAAATTATCATCATAAATTAACATTTATTCATTTTGATCATAATAGTGGTAAAAATAATTTAGAAACCAGTTATTTCTCCATCATTCTTAAAAGTATATTTGTTAGGATATAAAAAACAAACTTGATGGAAGTTATCCAATTATCTTTAAAATATACTAACACAATAAGTAGGAGAAGGCATGCTTCCCACATCACTACTAAATCTTATTAGGATTGCTGCCTTGGCATTTGGTAGCAAAATGACTGGGGATGTAGGTCAGTGGTAGCATTATGCCTTATGCACAAGACTCTAGTTTTGATAGTCTAGGGACAAAAACGTTTCAGTTTTTTTTTGTTTTACATAAAAACATAAGAAGTAAGGCATTATCTATATACATCCATTGCCAGAGTGAAGTAAGTTTTTAAATGACACAAAATAATTGCCTAGCACCCAGAGTTTATACTAGGGTTCATTCTTTGTTGTATATGCTATGAATCTGGACAGGTCCATATCAGTATTGAATCAAAGAAAACACTTTCACTGACCTAAAGTCCTGTTTGTTATTCTTACTAATTACTTTTTTCTACCAACTATGGGCAACCACTTATAAATCTCCATCTCCTTTTCCAGAGTGTAGCATAGTAGGAACCACACAGGATGCAGTCTTTTCAAATTCTTCCGTTTTAGCCATAAGCACCTAAGATTGTTCTAGGTCATCATTTTAGCACTGAATTATATAACATAAATTGATATATTTATAATTTTTAATTTTTAATTATCCCTGTAATCTTTCCCAACTTGTTGTTGCTGAAAATTTGTAGATAATTATTTTTAAATTGTATTGAAATTTAGATTAAAAGGAGAAATGAATTTTTGAATCATTTAGGTCACTTGTTGAAGAATGTCATCAGGCTCCTTCATTTATTGATATATTCAGTTACACTTTAACATTGTTCTCATTCAAATTTTGCATATTTCTTTTCATTTTGCATACTATTGAGTATGGCATATTTAAAGATTTTGAACAAGATTGTCAATTATTATATTTTGATAGACTTGACTGATGTGTCATGAGCCACTGAATTTAAATATTGATTTTGTTTTTGAAAACTTTGCTGAATTCTTATGATTTCCCCTCTTATTTTGTGTACATAATCTTACCTTAGGAAATAGAGAAAGTGTTCACCACACTTCATACTTTCATATTTCTAGTTCTATTAGACTGAGTCTGATAAATAGTAAGATTTTGTCATGTTTCACACTGATGGGAATTCTTCTAATGCTTTGACATTGTATACCTTCACCATCATACATAGTCATTTCTGCAGTAGAAATCTCTAGTCCTTGCCTTTTATAACATAAAGATTTAATGGAAAGGGGGCCAAAATAAAACGACAGCAAGTATGATGTTTGGTTATATGGGGAAATATTATAGGAATAATTAAAAAAACTGGAATGATAGCTGTAAGCTTAAAGGGCCATCAGGAGAAATTTACAGAGAATCATGATTAAAACTGGTTTAAATCATAAGGTAATCTTTTAAACAAAAGAGAAGCCCAGAAGAAAATGGTGAGAAAAACTTTCATTTTATCTCTGTTCACAACTTTTCCAACTGTCAGGGTTTCACCTCAAAACAGAGACATTTGTTGTGATTTTTGTTTTCTCCTTCACTTCCAACATTGTCAAAAGAGTCTATGTTGGTTAGGTTTATGTTAGCTTGGTACAAACTAGAGTCAGTTGAAAAGTAATACTCTCAATTTAGTTAGTGGCTCCATACAAATGGCCTATAGGCAAATCTTTGGTTAAGCTGGTTAATTAATTCCTGATTAATAGTGGGTGTGGGAGGGCCAAGCCCACTATTGGTGGTGAAGGCCCTGGACAGGTGCTTCTGTACAGTAAAAAAGTAGGATGACAACTTCTGAGAAACCATTCAGCAAGCAGTATTCCTCTGTGGCCCGTGTTTTTCAGGTTCTTACCTTGTGTTCTTGCTCTGACTTCATTCAGTGATATACTATGACCTGAGAGTTGTAAGATGAAATGAATCTTTCCTCATGTCAATAGAAACCTAAGAGAGACAGAACTTTGTTCTGAAGAGTAGAACATTGCTGTGTAAGACTTAACTATGTGTTGTGGGGAGGACTATAGAAGGATCTCTGGAACAGCAGCCAGTGCTCTTAATCTCTGAGGCATCTCTCCAGCTCTTGGACTATGGGAATTTTGAGCAAGGAAAGCCACAGAATGCACAGAGATTAATGGGGTTCCTGGGAACTTGGAAGATAAGGCTGAAAGCAGATGATAGAGGCCATGCTTATGAAGTATCAGAGAGAAGCAAAGACTATCAGGATCGTTTGTGTGATATTTTGAGTTAAGAATCCATGGTTGAGGGCAAGTGGACTTGAAGAATTGGCTGTCATTAATGAGACCAGAAAAACAATACCAAATCTTTGCTTTGCTAGTACAGTCAATACTGATTAGATGGGGGTAAAGAATAAGTTGTGGTTAAGAAGAGACCAGCATCAAGGTAAAATCTTTTGGGAAGTACTTTTAGAGTTAGCAAACAGAAATTGAGGTTGATGGGCTTCAAGGCTGTATCTTATGACAGAAGTCAAATTTGGTGACATGTATGAGTTTCTCAGATGGTTGTAGCTTTGAAGAGATGAAGAGACCCTGGGGAGCTATTTGTGAAGGTAACAGCCTTAGTTGCAGGGCAGATCAGAGGTCACAGAGAGTAATTGAGGTTTGGCACCATGTGGCATGGTCAAAATCCCTGAACAGAGGTCAGGAGAAGCCACTGGTGAGGGTACAGCCTCAGCTGCTAGGGAAACACCAGCATATTGGAGATACAAATAACCGTGGATGACTACCAAGGACAGCAGCAGATGTGGAATGGAGCTGCCCTGATCCTCTTAGACATGCATCTGTGCTGTGTGTGGCAGAGCCAGAGGAGTGGAGCTGCCCAGTCCCTTTGGAGCCTGAAGGATCATAAGTCAAGAATCCGACACTGAGCTTTGCACTGATGGACTTTTGTTTTGTTTTGATTATAACTGTTCTCTGGCCCTTCCCTTCTGGAGTATGAAAATACTTAACTTGTTTTCCCTAATGACCCAGGATCCCAAAAGCCCTCAGTTAAGAGACTCTGGAGTATTAGAAATATTTTGTTTTACTAAGATTGAATTTTTAAAGAATTTGAATAATGAATTTTTTTTGAGACAGTGTAGGGGAAGCTGTAGCCACGCCTTCTTAGGGGCTGGCTACAGGAGTACCTGAGGGCTTGTGAGGGCGTGGTCAGAGTGAGTAGGGGGACTGTGTTTTGGTTTTGGTGACTTTAGGGTTTAGTTATATTTTACCTTTATACTGTTAACTTTTAATCCTCTTTTAGACTAAAAGGGGAATTGTAGGGGAAGCTGTAGCCACGCCTTCTTAGGGGCTGGCTACAGGAGTACCTGAGGGCTTGTGAGGGCGTGGTCAGAGTGAGTAGGGGGACTGTGTTTCGGTTTCGGTCTCTCTTTGCTTCTTGCTGTACAGACTACCACCGGCTGGCTGGTTCGCTCTGTAAGTAAGGCTTTTCCCTATTAAATACCCTTATATTTCTACCTGACTCCGTATTGGTAATTTCCTACAATAAGACAGGGTTTCTCTGTATTGTTTTGGAGCCTGTCCTGGAACTCGCTCTGTAGACCAGGCTAGTCTCGAACTCACAGAGATCTGCCTGCCTCTGCCTCCAGAGTTCTGGGATTAAAGGCGTGTGCTACCACCATGCAGCCAGACTTTGAATTTTTAAGGACTGCATTTTTCTTGACAGGGTTTCTCTGTGTTAACAGCCCTGGCTCTTCCTGGAACTAAGTTTGTAGACCCGACTGGCCTCGAACTCACAGAGATCTGCCTGCCTTTGCCTCCTGAGTGCTGGGATTAAAGGCATGTGCCACCACTGCCTAGCAAGATTGAACTTTTAAAGTGTTTGAAATTTTAAAGACTGTGACACTTTTAAAGGTTGAAAATGCTTTATATTATAAGAATGACATTAATATGCCATCTTAGGGGGGAAAGGAAAGTTTATGATTTAAAAGTTACATGTTTGAATGTCAATTTGACAAGGGGTCAATCACATTATTTTTATGTAAACTTGACACAGCTAGAATCATTTGGGAAGAGAGACTCTCAATTTAGAAAGCATATTCATAAGAATGGCTTATAGGGGCTGGAGAAATGGCTTATTGGTTAAGAGAATTGGCTCTTCTTCCAGCAGACCTTGGTTCAATTCTCAACACTCACATTCATCACTATCTGTAACTTCAGTTTAAGGGGATCCAATACCCTCTTCTGGCCTCTGTAACTCCCAGGAATTCATGGGGTACAAAGACATACATGTAGGTAAAAGACCCATAAACATCAAATGATATTTTTTAAGATTGGCCTATAGATAAGTCTATTGTTTTTTCTTGATTAATCATTGATGTGAGAACACCCAGCTCACTGTAGGTGGTGCCATCCCTGAGCTGATGTTTCTGAGTATGCAGGTTGAGCAAGCAATGAGGAATAAGCTAGTAAGAAGCACCCCTCCACAGCTTCTTTTTAGTTCCTGCCTTCAGTTCCTGCTCTGACTTCTCCCAGTGATAGAGTATGGTCTGAGAGTTGTAAGACAGAACAACCCCTTTCCTTTTCAAGTTGTTTTTGGTCATGGTGTTTTATCACAGCAACAGAAGCTCTAATTAGTACCGAGTGTCTACCTTTCTAGGATGTTGTAAGAAGCAAGAACCTTTCTCAGAAGTCCCATTTTCATGATCCCCTCTAAGTCTTTATTTCTCTTCGGACTTACTAAATGAATACAGCCAGGAGACTGGAAATGGACATTTCAAATATTTCAATATGCTAATAGTAGTAGAATTTTGGACTTGCCATATGAAAGGAACTTAACATACATTTCTCTACTTGCAATACCTCATGCAGTTATGACCCAAATTTTCTGCTAATTCATCCTTAAGAAGTAAGAATATAACAATCAAAATAACAGGTTCATTACAATTAGTAAACAGTCAGAGTTCAGCAAAGGGATGTCAGAGCTTGTTAACCCAAAGTCAATGTTAATGTCTGAGTAGATGGTATATGATACGATAAATCTTTCTGTCAAAAGCCGCCGAGCCCCACTGCCACATGTGCACTTTATGCCAGCGGCCCGCCCGAGTTAGGCCCAAATGAATACACAGAAACTTGTATTAGGTTCAAAGCTGCTTGGCCAATGACTAGGATTCCTCATCTATTAGCTCAGTATTAATTATCATAACTCTATATATTTTATAAGACTTATCAGACGCCTTATTGGCGTCCCTCCTTGCCGGTGGATCACTTTGTGCTGCTGGAGGAGCAAGGGGAAAAAGGACCCTTCCTGTTTCTCCTTCGTTTAAATGTGAGTCTCCTTGCTATGTCACTTCCTGCCTGTATCACCACTTATCTATTACATTTCCCATAATCCTCTTTGACTCCTAGTACCGTCTAACTTGCTGTCTCATTGGCCAAACAGTATTTTATTTAACAATCAATAAGAAAAACATACACAGTATCAGGTATAGGGTACATAGCTCCCCAATCTTTTTTAATCTAGAACATTCATTTTGGAGAAAAACCAGCAGCGTTTTCAAGGATAGTAGTAAATGGTAGTACCAGGCTGAGCAAGTCTTAATCAGCATATTGGAAGCAGACATATGGTTGAGACTTTCAGGAAGAAGATAGAGTGAAAAGAGCAGAGAATTGAGGCTATTCCAGAGACTGAGTGGACTGAGGACTGAAGTAGACGAAGTCAGTAAGTTAAATCAAGAAACTATGGACTCATGGAGTCTGACTAATGATGGGAAAGAATGAACACACACACAAACACACAGTGGCTTTAGCAATGCTGTAGTCAGACATTGGAGACTTTGCTGAGTGCCATTTCAGTAGGTGGTGTGCAGAAAAAATGATGGAGAAATTCAGGAAGACAAACTACATGAATTCTCATGAGTTCTAGATGGTTGTCAAAAAAAATGTCAATATAGGTGAGAACTAAGGGGAATCCACAAAGTTGGTAGGTGATAGACACAAGGTGAAGACAGATTATGCTGCCACATGAAACATCCTAGAATAGGGAAGGGAACAAAAAGAATACTGAGACTACCACCTTCCTAAGAAGCAGTGGGTACAGAAACAAATTTTTTTTTTTTTTGTGTGTGTGTGTGTGTGTGTGTGTGTGTGTGTGTGTGTGTGTGTGTGTGTTTGTCTAAGTTCCCATTTTTATGATTTTTCAGAATCACCAGGATAACATTTCATAGGTGTAACATAGATCAAACAAGTACTATTCCTAGGGTGTTCAGAAGTGTGCCCTATATGAGATATTCTGAAATGTCCATTAAAAAATGTTCATTCAATTCAAAGTGAAAATCTTCGTTGAGAAAGTCAATTTCATTCAAGAGAACTTTAAATTTAAACCCATGGAGCACGAATTTCATTTGAAACATTAAACTATATGCTGCTTACTATGGAGAGAAAACATTTTTATGACTCATATCACATGCATTGTAACATTTTAAAGTTTTCTTTATTTCATATTTAACCTGTAAATATCAATAGCAACTTATTTTTTGCTTTGGTTCTTATGCTATTCATGATATAATAATAGGAGTATTCCATCAGATGAAGTAGTTGTAAAATTGAAGGAGAGTAAGGAGCATTTTAATTCTGAAATAGGACAATAGGAACATAATTGGACTGTTTCAGGTGAATGATAAGAGTGGTCACTCCATGTATAATGAGGTTGTGGTTTTTAGTGAATGAAATTAGGTCAATAACACAGAAGAATGGAAAGTACCTTGAACTTTGGATCCAGACAAGCTTGTTAGCAACTCCCTAAATAACCTCTTTGGGAAAAGGCACAGTGAATATTTCTACTGTCAGGATTGCCAGCCTGGAATACTTGGGTAAATTGAAATATCAGAAATCTTGTCCATAGTTGGGGGTCTACAACCCAGAGTCACAAACCTAAAGGTAATCACAACCTTTGATCACTGTTACTTTAGGTTTACCTTGTTGAGCCAAGAACTTACAGTGCAAGGTCTATCATTAACCTGATTTTGTTTAATGTCAGCATTCCACAGAACAGGTTCATGTAGACGATGAATTCCAAATGTTTCTACATCCAGATTTTTGTGAAACAAGAAAATCTGAAATTTAAAATTTATAGAATAATATTTTTTCCAGGTGCCCCATTGCCTAAAACGGATGCTTCTGAACCCCTGACGGTCAGCTCACCAGTGAAGAGAGCTGGGGGTGCAGATGCTCTGAGCGAAGAGGAAGAGCAAGTGAAAGAAGACTCCTTAACCATCTCTGAACTAGCATACAATCCCAGCGCCAGCCTGCTCCCCACCCCCGAGGATGACGAAGAAATCGACATGCTCTTCGACTGTCCGTCTAGGTTTGAATTAGACAGAGAAGACACGGATTCATTTGAGGAGCTGGAAGCAGATGAAAATGCCTTTTTGATGGCTGAAGAGGAGGAGCTGAAGGAAGCCCGTCAAGCTTTTTCATGGAGCTATTCCATCCTGACCGGCCGAATCTGGCTCAATCCTATGGTGAAGCGTTGCTCCAGGCTCCTTGTGGTGGGCCTGGGACTGCTGCTGTTTGTATTTCCCCTGATCCTCCTCCTTTTGGAGTCAGGTATTTATCTCTCCTTCTTATGCAAAAACCGAATTTGAGCAGTTCCACTATACATACTACTGTCCCCTGAAGGAGTAGGCATCTGGGAAGGCCAATGATTTTTGTGTACTTGTTGGGATTCCCTAATAAGAATAAAGGCTGTATTCAATATTAATATTATTTATTTTTCAGTAGATACCATGGTACAAATGGTCGTGGGTTTGTATGCCAAACCCTTAATTTGGATTTCTATACTTCTATAGACTTCTATCAGTTTAAATCAAATAAGGTTATTTTATTTATTTTAGAAATGTAGCCTTAAAGAAACAAAAGATATGTTATTTTTATCATAGTGTAGACATTCTTTTTATTTTACATCACAGTGAATTATCTTTTCCTGTCTTGTCATTGTCATCATTATGAAATACAATGTTTAATAACTAGATTTTTAGTCAAAGTGTAAGGGAATACTTTTCAATATAATCCTTAGTGAAAACAGCATTCCTCTAAGAAATGTTTATACAACTAAATTTATTTTGGGGTTTTCTTTCAGTTTTTAAAAAGTATTTTTATATCCAAAAAACTTGGTAAACAGTTTTGGTGAAGGAAGTCCTATTGAATTATTTAAGCACACATATTTTAAAACTAGTACACAAAGATATATCAGAATTTTTTTAATATTATGGCATCAATTTTCTAAAATATATGTTAGATTAAGTGATCCCATACTTTGAACCTATGAGAATATGTTATAGAAAATTAGTAGAAACAAGTTGTAAGTTGTGCAAACAGATGCTGGAATTGGAGATACAGACAGAGAACATTAAGTTTGCATATGAAGAACACCTTCCAGCATTTATATATGATAACCTAACGGCTTCGTTTTGGTTATGCCCATGGATTTAGCTTGGATAGGCAGACTGTTTTGAAAAGAAAGTGAAAACTGAAAAGAAAGAAATACTACAAAGATACTTGAGTTAGTTGTGTATGATTCACACTATTGGATGAGTGAAGGGAGATGGGTTGGACAGATGAATGGCACCAAAGAAGAATGGACAGACAACCTCTCACGTGGAAGTGATAGTGATGCAAGGCATTCAACAGAGTAAGGAGTTGCTACACTGCATTCCAAGTCCACGTGGGCACATTTCAGTGATTCTAAATGACCACAGAAAAATGGCAAAGTAAAATTCTTTTTATCCTTTTCAACATTCATTGTGATTCTGTGGGGAAAAAAACCTTCAAAACTATGTATGTATGTAGTGTGTTCATGGATATGTGTGCATGTGTGTGTGCGTGTGTATTCATGAGTGCATATATTTGCATATATATCAGTGTTTGTATATGTGTACTTTATGTGTTCATTTCTATATAAGTGCATGTGTTAGGATATATTTTAGTGTATGTGTATATATGTCTGTACATATGTGTATCTGTGTGTATATCTGTGCATGCCTGTATGTGTGTTTGTGTGTACATATATGTATGCATGTGGGTCTGTACATATGTATATATGTGTGTCTATGTATGTCGCTGTGTGTATACATGTGGGTATGTGAGTCTTTGTATGTGTTTATGTTGCATCTGATGGTTACATGTGTATATCTTTGAATGTCTCTGTGTATGTGTGTTTGTGTATGTGTGTCTGTATATATGAGTATGTGTACATATCTGTGTGGGTTCATGGGGATGTCCTTCTGTATATATGTTTCTCTTATTGGTTGATGAATAAAACATTGATTGGCCAGTAGCTAGGCAGGAAGTAAAGGCTACAAGATGAAGGCTTAAGGGAGATGCCATGCAGCAGCAGAAGGAGTAACATGCTGGGCATTACCAAGTAAGCCAAGAGCATGTGAAAATACTCAGATTAATAGAAATGGGTTAATAATTAAGAGAGATCAAGTAAATAAGAAGCCTGAGCCATCAGCCAAAGAGTTTATAGTTAATATAAGCCTCTTTTTTATTTATTTGGGTCTAAACAGCTGCAGAAACAGGTGGAACAGAAACCTGTCCACATGGGTGGTGGAGGCAAACACAGAAAAACACACAGAGGGGAAAAGAGAAACAATGTCTTCTTGATTTTCATGATAGGCAATATATGCCTTTCTTTGTTGGGTTTACTTAATAAAAATCTTTTCTTATTCGTTATTGGGTCGCCCATTGAAAAGAGTGAAGGGACCATCAAAAGACATACAAATTCAGCTTTGGTAAAGAAGATAAGTGAGGGGAGAAATCTTGTAGTACATTTCTTTGTGTCATAAAATTCATGAAAGAAGTGGCCTGTGTTTTCTGTTAATAGTGCTTGCAACACTATCAGAGAAAAGAAAAAATGCTACTTACTTTACAGTACAGAATGTAGGATTTCCACCTATATTAAAATATTCAACTTCCTTAAGTTATACAAATATATAACATATAACATCTCTATAACTCTAATAAAATTTCAATACTATCACCAACTGATTTCAAGGAGGGCATTCCAATCTGTCTTATTCAGTACAGCTCTGGGTTAATTTGTCAGCTCAGGAAGTTTGAGTTGTGCCATGCACTAGCTATTAAATCTGCAGAGCTTTATTCTCAAAGGAATTCTATGATTTGCTCTCATATAGAAATGAATTTACCTTTGGTGGAACCTGTGAAAATTTTACTTTAGAAGTTTTTAAGTAGAAAAATTTTCTAGTGAAGTTTTAATGTTTCCATTTTTCTCTCATATGACTTTGGAGTCATCTCATTGTTATTGGCACAGGGGTTCTCTACTCATGGACTCAAAGTAGCCCCTCTTTTACTTATTTCTCAAAGTAAATCACTTAGACTTCACATTTGAAAAACATGTTAAAAATTAATATTTTTAAATTATGGAAATAACATAATTCTTACTTTGAATACAAACTGAATGGCATTTTCAAAATTGTCCATTATTAGGTAAGGAAAGAATGGGTCCTGATGACTTTAAGCAACAGATATCAAAAGTAATATTGGTACCTTAAGATGTTATTTCATTTACATAGAATAAGAATCTTTAAAATATATCCATTATGTGTTAGAAGGCAGTGATCACTTGGAATCAAATAAGGAGAAAACTATTGCTGCAGAAGATGGTCAGTGTATGGTATAGTGAGGCTGGTGGCCAGTGTAGAACATAATTAAATTCAGAATTCAGGGTGTGTGAGAGTAGATTATGATCCATATTATAGATATCTGGGTATTTAGGTAATACATGTATATGTTTATATAGACAAACCACATAAATTATTTATGAGTATTCATTGTTCCTTTCTCTCTTAACTATTATGGTGGAAAAGCCTGTAGTATCAAAGATTTAAAATTTCCATGAAAATCCCATGTGTGTATTTGTGGATTTGAATACACACACACACACACACACACACACACACACACACACACACGCACACACTCATACTCATATTGAACTAGGACATATACACACAATCTATATTTAGTGACACAACAGGCTATATAATTAGAATGATATAGGTAAAGTATTACATATTTCCATTTCAGCTTGAACCATAATTATATTTGCAGTATATTTTGTAGTTTGTCTAATATTTTTAAACTTTGGGGACAATTTATAATGACTCAATGTCACTCAATTATAAAAGATATGGAAGCCATATTACTATGATTGCTGACAAAATTTCTAATAAATACTGTAGGATAAAGAAAGTTTTTCAATACTTCAGTTATATTTAAGACAAAGCTGTATTTTCAATATATTGGAAACTCTAGGAGGATGCATGTTAGGACCAGAAAATAAGTTCACCTTTGGTGATGAAAGTCTGAAAAGATCACAGATAGTGGAGGAGATTCACATTCTAGTGAAGCTACTGACACCCAACCAAAAATATGAGCATTGAAAACATATTTTGCTATAAAAAGGTATGATCAAATTAATGGTATCAAGCAACCTAGAGATAGTCAGAAGGGTAGTGTAATTATTTCACAGTGCCAGGAATTACCACCAAAAAACCCACCACTAGCTAAAACAGTCTTCCTATATCAGTAAGAGCAGTCAGACTCTGGAGTCTGTCATCCTTTCTCCACAACATTGCCTATAAAGAGCAAGTATTCAGATGTTCTCATATCTGGAGTGTTTTCTGGGATTGTTGCAGATGATGGGACTTGAGCATCTTTGGGCAAATTTTCTCTTCTTTGGGAAGATAGTTACTGAAGGTCTCTGCTTACTTATCTTCCTGCTTTTTCTCTCTTTCCCTGTCTGTCTTGGACCTGCTTTTGGACTTCCAGTCTCTATGCCATAAACGGAATCAGCAGGACCTGCACATGGTGGACCCATTCAAGATTTGTTTTCCACATTCCAGCCTCAGTCTCTGTCTGAGTAGATAAGTTCATGAGTGAGCCCAGAAAAGCTCAGCAGTCATCACTTCAGAAAGGAAGAAAGAAACATCACTCGGGCCTCCGGCTTCAGCTGTATTCACCCATCCTTTAGTAAAGCTGATTTGAACCCTCTTCTGGACATCGTGTGACATTGTGTCTTTTATATACTAGAAAATGAAATAGTGACATTATGGTGGGTAATACTTAGGTCTTTTAACTTCCAGTTTCACAAGGAAGTGATAGAGAAACTTATCTTTGATGAGGTTTGTACATCAAAGGTTATTTGCCATACACAAGGCTCCTCACAGCCTCCACCACTGAGAGAAGGAACTAGGAATCAGTTCATGACTAACAGGGTTGGCTAAAACTGTACAACCCTATTTTGGACCTTTGGTTACTGCAAAAGTCTTTTTGGAAGGGGCACCAAGGCTATTTTTTTTTCACTTTTCAAGACAGGGTTTCAGTGTATAGCTTTGGAGACAAGTCTATTTTCATGGTTACAAAGGAATATTCTTGATGTAATTAAGAGAGAACTTCTGTGGTTACTACGTATCAAAACACATCTTTTAAATTCCAGCATATTCTCCTGCTAACATATATGACCTTGTTTCTTCTTATTCATGTAATGTAATTATGATTTTAACCATTTACTTTCTAGAAATCTTCCTTTAAAAGTAAAGAAATCAAGAAAAACAGCATAGTGTTTGGCAGCTACATTCTTGAGAAGAAGTTAAAAATTCAG